CCACAACGCCTGGCCATTTTTTTTGGTTGTAGCCATCATTGTTGTTTGGCGCGCCCGGGCTGGGGATTTGAACCCACCACCTTAGGTGTATGTGGCTGGCACCTTAGCTGCTTGAGCCACAGGTGCCGAGCCCATTTTCCTACTTTTAAAGTAACGTTGGTAACAGAACTCACTGCAACAACTGTTTTGTAGATTAAAGTACATATGCTATACATCTTAACCATAAACGAATCAATAGTCAACATTTTTGTCACACCTTGGTTATAAGAAGGCTTGTACTTTTAAATACTATAAATCTTTTATTTTAATGTGAATTGCAGATAACATAGACTTCTAACTTAGTTTTTATCTAGTGTTCCTCATACTATTAATTTCTGAAAGGCTCTAAAATTTCCATTCAATACATTATGAGTTATTAGGACTAACTAGATGTTTATAAAAAAATATTATAATATTATATAAAAACAAATGACAGGCGATGTAATGCGCTTCTCTTATTTTTTTCAATGATCTAACACACGGACATGCTCACTGGTAACACCACTACAAAGAGAGGTGGGGCCAGGGATCCACAGAAGTTTTAGGCAAAACAATTTACAACTTAGAGAAAACATGGGTCAAATATACAGAGCAGACGACTATCTCTCCGACCTCAGTAACACCTGCTAAAAAGTTCTACCACACTGGCTCGGCGCCTGTGGCTCAAGTGGCTAAGGCACCAGGCACATACAGCTAAGGTGGCGGGTTTGAATCCAGCCCGAGCCCACCAAACAACAATGATGGCTGCAACAACAACAACAAAATAGCCAGGTGTTGTGGAGGGCACCTGTGGTCCCAGTAACTTGGGAGACTGAGGCAGAAGAATCGCTTGAGCCCAGGAGTTGGAAGTTGCTGTGAGCTGTGATGCAACAGCACTCTACCCAGGAGGACAGCTTGAGGCTCTGTCTCAGAAAAAAAAAAAAAAGTTCTACCACACTGATGAGCGTGTAGCAGGGAACACAGCCAGCACAAGTGCCTGCAGATCCAGGAAACCAGTGAGCACGCTCAAAGGATTGAACCCGAAAAATGGCCAGCCTGTTCATCACATGTAGGTGACTGTTCTCCGTTTCACATCATTCTTCTATTAACAAAATAGGAAAATATACACAGATGTTTTATTCATACATACGTTCGTGTATAAATGCACACAGATGTAAAAAACCAACTGCCAACTTGCATTAGAATAAAAAAAATTCAAGGAAAAAACATTTGAATTTTTAATTAGAAAATCAGTGATTATGTCATCTATGTATTAACAGAAATTTATTTACTTAGATTACATCCTAACATTTTTTTATTATAAAATTCAACTCTGAAATTATAAAAATAAATTTTCCAACTTTCTCACCTTAAAATACTGTTTTACTTTTTCTTTCAAAAAGTCTGGATTTTCCTTTAGGCACTGCCTGAATTTAACCAACTGGTCTCCCAATTTGAGGAGTTCCACGGGGTCCCCGTCGTGATTCCAGCAGGAAGCCACATACTGGAGGAGAAGGTTACGGTCACCGCGGGCTGCGCCACAGCCGCCTGCCACCCAGGAAACCTCTAAAGGCCCCTTTACTAAGATCCTAGCTTCTGTATTTAAAAACACCGCAGGTGATTGACTACAATAATAATTAAATCATTGTTTAGTTGGATAAAATAAACCCATTAAAACCCCGCTTTGTCCTAACAAAATAAAAAGGAGTTTTAATTATTTTTAGAAGATGCAATTACCAACAAATTACCAGTCATAAATCCCTCCCCACTCAAAGTATACTGTGTGAATCTGTTTCAAACAGAGGAATAAAATACCAAAAAGCCAATTAAGAAAGCTGATAAAAGACAGAGTAAGTCATGAAACTGAATCAGTAAATTATATCTGATGCAAAACACTAACTCTTAAGGTTCAGATGAAAAGTGTCATCAGTATAAATCTGCATTTTCAACGCTGTTGAGAACCATTAAGTGCAGGTTACGAAAACAAAACCCAACCAACAGCACCGTGCTGAGAAACCACACACCGAGGTCAGGGTCAGCCCAAAGCTGGTGGACTGATGCTTCATCTGTATCTCCAGTTTATGAAGTAAAGCTTCGATCCGATCATCTTCAAACCCTTTCCTGTAGAACAGAGTTAGGAGCTAAGACACGGAAAGGAGAACAGCTTTGGAAGGCAGCAGAGACAGATGACACTGAAGACGCACACATGTGCACCAGGCAGGGCCGAGTGCTGGCAAAGCCCCACCCACCTGACGGCGAAGCCCCACCCACCTGACGGCGAAGCCCCACCCACCTGACGCGCAGCAGGACAGATGGGGACAGGGAATCACTAAACAAGCCGACTTACTGGGCTGCCTCGTCCAGTGTCCTGTCTATCAGGACTCTGACCGTCTCAATGTCCTTCTCCGCAATGCCCTGGAGGCCAACACTGAAGTAGGCCTCTCTCGTGTAGCCGTTGTATCTGGAACACAGAAACAGATGATGGGAGGATCCCCGTGTGCTCAGCACCAGCACCTTAACGGGCTGTGCGTGAGGCCGGGACGGAGAACTTTCAGCCCCCGACTGCCACTGAGCCACTGAAGCCATGTTCTCAGATAGGCTGGTCACACTACACTTGTGTCCCTTTAATATTTCTAATACTCAGTAGACTGTAAACACTTGAGTCACAGCAAAATTAATCTAAAAGTAGAGAACTGATGAATAACAAAAATCTTAAAACTTATAAGAGCATTTAATGACCTTTTAAAACAAGTAGCAGTTAAGACATTCTGAGAACTTGGCACAATTGTCCTTGTTTTCACTTTTTTTGGCCAAAAATTTCTCTCAGGAACAAAATAGCTTGCACAGGACCGTGACACAGCACAGTCCACAGAGCCCTGTCCAGGACTGTCCCCCCAGCACTGAGGATGTTCAACCTCTACTCCACAATTTAACAACCCCAAGTGTCCTAGACACCATCATTCAGGGTCCGGAAAGGGGGTGCAAAATCACAGGCATCTGGTCCCCCCTAAGAGCAGCACTTACCCAGCGTCAGGAGAAAAGTCTGTGCCGAGCCCAGATTCAATCAAAGCTTTGTAGAAGGGAGAATTGGGCCCAGAAATCAGGAGTGAAGAGAGAAGGCTCAAGGTGAAGGCCTCGAATGTGTCAGTGATACTTCATTGGAGCCGACAGGGAGGTGAGGAGGAGAACAGAGGGAACACGGTTGGCCCCTGTGTGTTCCTACAGTCACCTAAACTCATCATTAGATAACTTTCATCTCCATACAAGTACAAGTTCTGCTAAAAAGTCTTGCATTTCACATTTATTTTCATAATCATATGGGCAAAAGAGAACCTTTTCACATGCTGGACTGTGTTGGGGTCCCCAAATAAATTCAGCTGCATATCAAATGCTTATCACATGACAGTGGGTCATGTACTTTCACAGACACTACTTCAGTGGTAGCTACGACACCAGCCCTCTACAGGGAGGTGACAGGTGACGGTCACCACGGCACAGACCAGGCTGGCAGGGCAGAGCAACTTCGAGGCAAGTTCTAGTACCACAAAGTTTTACACATGGTGCATTCTTCCCAAGGCAAGTGTTCACAGCACCACTGTCACACTCAAAGGGAACCATGACCCCAAAACACACAGCTGCTGCCCCGTGGCAGCCACTCTGTCCTCTGCAGGAAGAAAGCTTTAAAATGCAGTCAGCATGTAAATTACTTATTTTCCTGATAGATACTGCAGATGATTTTCAGATGTCATGAAACACCCTGACACTGGGTTCTCAGACCCTGCGTCACTCTGAGTCCTACCTGTGTGGTGATTTACACCTGACTGCAGAACTCACCTCCTGCCGTTCTAGCCTGGACACTTTCCCCTGCTGTCCGGCCCATCTGAGCCTGATCTGCACATACTTACTCTGGTAAGAGGTAGCTGACGCTGACCGTCGTCTGCTTAGAGGGGTCTGCCGCAAACGCGTCCGGGCCACAAGTTATCTGGAATTCCCTCTGCAAAATGACATGACGCTTGACGCAGATGCAGACTCAGAAAGGTTTCAACTACTGTAGACTGTCAGGACTTACAGGCTTTTCACTAAGTTAACTTGCTTCTAAAGCAAAGAGCCATTCTCTAGGCTGAAAAGCTCTCCCAGACTCTGAGCAGTGACTTAAAGCCCCACTCCCAGCACACCAGGTGGCCCATCCGCAGGGGAGGGACCCGGGGACTCACGGGGCTGTCCCACGGCCTCTGGGCAGGCACTGTGGTGCTGGGCTCGATTTTCCGGAACTTGCTCAGTGCTTCCTCATGAATTTGTTTCAGATGCTGCTCTAATGGGAAATTTCCATAAGTGAAGAACCTAAAATTTCAGAGAATATGTTAGTGTATTTTAGTGTAAAAGGTTAGAAATTGACAGTGAGGGCTTTTTGCATGAAATGAAGGAAATACAGGACACAGTAATCTCCCTCATCTGAGGTTTCACTTTCCAAGGTTTCGGCTCCCCATGGTTACCCAGGTCCCACTAGCTTGAGAGCCTGTGAGGAGAGCATTCCTCTAAGGTCCCCTCCAGCACAGCGTGACAGCTGTCCCCTGTTGCGTTACCCCCTGCTGCTGGACCCTCACCGTGCCTGCTTTGCCAAGCCACACTGGATCGGAGCTGTGCAGGTACAGGAGGCAGTGTACCTGGGCCTCAGCCCCACCTGCAGACGCCTGAGTCCACGGGGGCTAAGGGAGGCCTAGGCGGAGCAGCCGAAGCTGCAAACAACCTGTTTCCACCCTGGTGCCAACATCAAAGGGGGGTGTGTTGTGTTTTCACTTAGTTTAACTGTAAACACCATAGAGAAGCCATTGCCCTTTCAACTGTATAGGTGGTTCAAACAAAACACAAATTGTACAGAGCTAGTCAATGAAATGCAAACCCTTTAAATCCATCATAAAGGCATTACAGACAGCAAGTGAGTTATCTGTTAAAAGCCTCCACGACCCCAGCTAGAGCAGCGCGATAACCCAACTGACAAAGCACTTCATACAAGTCAAGTTAAGGCTACAAATTTTAGGTTATGCACGTTTTAAACTAACACATTTATTCAGCCAGAGGAGAAGGTTACAATGGCAGGCTTGGTCTCTATCTTACTGTGTCATCTGAGTATGGTGAGTTACTATTTGGGAACTAGAGTCTGAAAGATCCTTTATAAACTTACACTCAGGAGTTTAGATACCTACTTTAGCACTGGGTTTGGACAATCCACTGGCAAGTGGTGGCCCTAACATCCAGGCTCTGGGCTCTCCACGCCTTCCTCATCTGTCAGAGGTCACAGAGCCCAGGGGGACTGGCCTGCGGCACCTCTGTGCAGGGATGGCCTGAGGGACCTGCCACTTCTGTCTTGGTGGCAGTAGCCGACAAAGAAACCGGCAGGTTGGGGCAAGCACGGGAGCTTTCATCCCCCAGAGGCTCCAGTAGAGCAGTGCTGGAGGACCTGTCAATCAAGGGAAAACTGGTGCCCATCCCTGATTGGTCCATTTTCAATCCTGCTCCTGATTGGGCCATTTTATGGACCAATCACAGCTAAGCTATTACACCTATATAAGGCCCTGAGCAGAGACCCTGGGGGCAGATCGTTGCAGACCTTCGAGGAAGATAGAGCAGAAGAATAAGACTTCAGCAGACCATTGCAGACCATCCAGAAGAAGAAGCGAAAGCTGTGGCACTTCTAGTGCTGATCCTGCTCTACAAAGAGGCTTGACCCTTTGCTGATCTCTGCCCTGCAAAGAGGCTTGGTCCTTTGTAAGAGCTGTAGCACTTCCGCTGCTGATCCTGCCTTACAAAGAGGCTCGGTCCTTTGTAAGAGCTGTAGCACATCTATCCTGCTCTACAAAGAGGCTTGGTCCTTTGTAAGAGCTGTAGCACATCTATCCTGCTCTACAAAGAGGCTTGGCTCTTTGTAAGAGTTGTTTTCATAAGAGTTGTAACACTTGCATCCTGCCCTGCAAGGAGATGTGGTTCTTTGAGCTGTAAATAAAACCTCACTGTTCATTCTATGGTCCGTCAATTCATTCATTGAATTGTCAAGACCAAGAGCCTGGAAATCCAGTGTTAAAAATCCAGTATCAATAGGGCACAGAAGCCAAAGTTACTGAAGAGCAAAACCAAACTGTCAGGAAGGAAGTCCCACAGGCCACAGCTGGGGCCACGTGACCATAAAGATCACAAACAGGGCCCACGTGACCACAGGCCACGTGTGGGTGCTCTGGGCTGACAAGACATGACATGTGGGCCTCACTTGGATCAGAGATTTTGGGGACACTGGAAAATTTGACTATGAAATAAGAAATAGGGAGTCTTAAGAAAATATGCTTTATTCCATTAAGTGTGACTATGATGTGATATTATGTAAAAAAAGCCTCATGTTTTAGTATAACAAATTCAAATGTCAGGGTAAATGATTATGATGACATCTGTAATTTACTTCAAAAATACCTCAGCAAGAATATCCATGTGATTAGGTATTGCGGGGTCACATGAACTCATCTTGCAAATGTGATCTGACATCAGGATTTATTCGTAACTGTAAGTGTTTTATTAGTAGTGATATGAGAAACCAGAACTGCATCAAGAAGTATGTAAGGTTTATAAATGCAGGCTCTGTTTAACAACACCTACGTGACCAGGGCAGGGCTCTGTCCTCCACCCGCTGCCATTCTATACGGCTCAGCCCCCCACACATCCGCATTCTACTCATCACAAAACTGGGACCTGGAGGTGAGGAGGTGGGGCCGGGATTCCCCTCCAGGGTGACTCCGAGGGCTGTGTTTGCAGAGAGCACACTATAGTTAGCCAGTTACCACTGCAGATGTTTAAAATGAGTGTTCAAGTCAGTCAGATGGAGGAATGAGGCATCCAGTCCTATCTACACTTATGTATGTCTTAAGCAAACATTTCTTTGCTAAAGGTGAAAACTGCTAAGTCAACTTAGTGTAAGAATGCAAATAAGCCAACTCCTGAAAATCCACCATTCAACAGTCAAAACACAGTGCTACCTGGCGTTACTCGGGTGGTAGTGAGTAGCGTGGAACCGTCTAAGCTGCTCCCACGTGAGCTCCGGGATGCACAGCGGGTCCCCGCCTGACACCACAGAGTATGTGTGGTCGGGAAGGAGTCTGTTTTGAAGGTGCTGTGAGAATATTCTCTCGTTGTCTGTCTTGAAATTGAAAGAAAATAAGTGAATACACACATCATTACAGCACATCAAAGCAGTCACACTGGAGCATAAACCTATAAGGCCTTGCAAAGGGAACCATTCTAATGATAAACAAGGAAGCAAGGACCCCAGGCAGGTGTTGTTGAACAGGGTATTCAATTGATTCACGACCTGCACATGGCACCCAAGGCTTGGCTCTCTTAGAAGAGCAGGAAAACATACTTTTTGACACGTATTGGGTGAGCAATCTCCCACAGCTGGGCAGGAGAAGGGCCTGGTGCAGCTGGACGGACAGAAGGTGTCCTTCTGCCACAGCTGCAGGGCAGGTGGGGAGTCACACAACTCAGTCTGAAGACAAGGCCATGGAGAAAAGCACTGAAATTAAGTGTAAAAGGATAAGAAATAGCTCTCCACTAAAATGGGCCACAGGACGCAGGGACCAGAGCTGTGTGTACAGGTCACCCGACACTGCGGAGACTCTGGACAGACCGGCCAGGTCCTCAGAGTCATAAGGGGACATGAGGCACTGGCCTGGGCAGTCCTCATAGAAAAGAACCATGGTCTCAAGACCCTCTCTACTCCTCCCAAGTTCATGAGGCTCCGGAACAGCTTCTGACTGTGTGGGGTCTTATGATTCTGTGGGGTCTTATGATTCTGTGGGTATCTGCAAGTGTGTGTGTTCATACATTAAAACCAAGGCACTTTAAAAATAGTTACTTACTCATTAGTTAACTCAACCCATGATTACACACTACTGTAAATATTTTCTGAACAATACTTTTCATAACAAAATACAAAAAGTTACTGGGAAGAGTGGCACTGTTTTACGTTTTTTCCACAAACTTCTCTAGAGTCTGGCTGAACAAAGGAGCTGGACCCCTGCCTGCTTCTCCCAGCATGCCACACCTCCCCCAGCCTGCCCCAGCGCCCCAGGGAAAGCCCAGTGCACACTCAGGAGTGGGGGCGACCAGCATGAAGATAGGTTTATCTCGAAGGCCTGCTGTGACCACCACCCAAACCCACATATCCCCGGAACTGCTGGTCAGAGGGGGACTGCTGTCCTGGGCGTCTGCTCGTGGTCTGAGCTCAGCCAACTCAAAAAGTTACTTCCTAAGATGTGAGCATTAAATAACTGAAGGTCAACTACCTTCCAAATGTAACCGTATTTCAACGTTTTACACAGGTAAGGAAGAAAACTTACAAATGCTCCCTTCATCTCATTAAAGACAACTCCTTTAAAGATCAAGGGCGTCTGCGGGTCACTCGGGTCCTCGTGTTCTAATCTCCATCCTTCCTGCCTGAATAATGACAAACAATTATACGAGGATACCAATTCTCGTACTGAGGTCTGAATCAACTAGTTAATCTTTACATACCAGAAATCCAACTCCCGCAAGCATGGGAAAAAGGTTGCATCCAGATACACAGAGAGGAGATTCTGAAAATCCTTGGGGTTTTGTGTGGAAAATGGATACAGAGTATAGTCACTAGCTGGGCAAAAACGAAAAACAAAGTTTTAAATACAACTGGTTCCTACAAAATCATTTACCTCTAAGCCTCACTTCCCGTGACCACGAGTGTAACTGCCCACAGCAGGAAGGCAGAGATCTGGGCCCTGGACCTGCACCTGAGCTGGCCTGGCCACCACCCTGAGTCCCACCTTTCCCAAACCAAGTCAGGGTCTGCACTTGACAGGTGCCTGTGCTAATTCCTTGGTGACATCTATACAGCCCAGGTTCCCTGAGATTGTCACGTGGTCAGAAGACAAGCTCATCCTGCACTGATCAAATCTGCTGTTTGAGTCTCCTCCTGACAGAACGCCGAGCTCCTGCCACCAGCCTGCCCCTCTCCTCACTTACTAAAAGTAAAGCTCGCACAACATCGACATTCAGGATACTGCTACGGAGGCCCAATGCTGTAGCAATATTCCCAAAAGAAAATTGTTTTGAACCTTTCTAGAAAAAACTCAAACATCTTTTTCCTAAAACTTCACTTTTTGTAATCCAAGATGTGATTTTCGTAAAGGATCAGACTTCTATTACCTTCAATGAGAGATTGGTGACAATTAACCGCCAACTACCCCCTTCTCCTCAGAAACTAACTGAACTCCAGTAACTGTGCCTGGCAGACCCAACAGGGACTTGGGAGAGGACGGCGTACCTGTGAAGGCGTTCATAAAAGTGGATAATGACCGGTTTAACATTTTGAAGAAAGGGTCTCGACATGGGTACTTCTGAGAGCCACAGAGGACTGTATGCTCAAGAATATGGGGGACGCCGGTGTTGTCCATGGGGGTCGTGCGGAACTGCACACTGATGGCAGAGGAGAAAAGACACAAAGGGGGGTAAAGCTCGTACTGCCCAGTATGGTGCCCTGGCACGCACTGCCCCAGGTGACAAGAAATAAGTGCTTAACATCACAATCTTTCAACAAAGTGTTTTCTAACTAAAATGTATGAAATCACTAACTCAGACTATAAAATGTTACTGTATTTAGATGAAGACATAAACTCAAGCAGTCTTCTCAGGGTGCTGCCAGTAACAGTGTATTAGTGAGGGGTCGGTAAGCTGCCTCGCGTATGGTGGATGTTCTGAATGCAAACATCCCAGTGCCCTGCAGCGCCCCCACCTGCACAGGTGTGAGACCACAGCCCTGCAGCACCACCACGGTCACCACCATGGTCCTGCAGCGCCCCCACCTGCACAGGTGTGAGACCACAGCCCTGCAGCACCCCCACCTGCACAGGTGTGAGACAACCTGTGCGCTCCTCCCCAAACAGGTCCTGAGACCACAACCCTGCAGAGAACCCACCTGAATAGGTTGTTTGAGTCCTCTCTTGCCAGGTGTAAGTATCTTGCTCCTGTGTCATCATGGCTGAGCTTCACTGCGGTGAGGAACAGCTCAGGAACAGATGTCACCTGGGTCAGGAATGGCAATGTGAGAGCTGACCCTGCCAGAATGGCATTCAATGGGTCACCTTAACACACTGAGAGAACTGGCTGTCCTGTTGCCAGGAAGCCAGCAGGTCAGACCTGAAAGAGACGGAACTGCCTTGTTCAAGTCTCTCCCCTACAAAGGGGGAAAGGCTGCTGGGAATGTGCACGTTGTCCTGAGTGCTCTGTCTGCTGGGCCTTGTCTGGAGACATCACAGGAAGGTATGCGCATCCCCACTGGCAGGTGGGACTGAGGGTAGACTGATGGGATAAGTGACACATAATCCAGATGCAGCTTCTCCCTGGCACCTATCCTCTCTGTGAGGCAGCACTGTGCCCACCTGCACGGCTGGGCCTGCACAGCCCCGCTTTCCCCAGAATGCACCCCTCGTCCTGCACAGCACCACACTGCCCGTCCCGCACAGCACTGCTGCACCCACACTGCACCACTCATCCCGCACAGCACCGCTGCACCCACACTGCACCACTCATCCCGCACAGCACCGCTGCACCCACACTGCCCGTCCCACACAGCACCGCTGCACCCACACTGCACCACTCGTCCTATACAGCACCGCTGCACCCACACTGCACCACTCATCCCGCACAGCACCGCTGCACCCACACTGCACCACTCATCCCGCACAGCATGGCTCAGCCCTCACAGCACTGCTCGGCTGAATGCCTGCTGCTTCTGCTCCTCCTGGCTTTCCACTGTTACCTCCTTCAGCGCTTAGAACAGCCTGCAGGGAGGAAGAGACTAGAATGGGCGAGCCTGTGGCATCAGAAGGATGCTCCCAGGATTAACCCTCACCCTCTCTCACTTAGGATGAGCAATCAAGTCGTGTACTTGGGCCAGGAGGGTAAAAACATCCCAATGAAAATAAACAAATCCTCACTTCCAGGGTGAGGGACTATCTCTTTCCCTACAAGTCCCCAATTAAGGGTCCACAGTCCTTAGCGTTCAAGAAACTGTCTTGTCCTCTCCCCCATCAGGCCACCTTCTTTCCTTGAGCTACACACTGTGTCGCTCTGCTGACATCCCTCATTGCCCGTTCTTCATCTCGGGCCCCTGAACATCACCTGCCTATCCCCAGCAAAACCAAGACCTCGGGTCTTGTTAGCCCAATCTAGGACCCTCGTCACACAAACGACATGCATACAGTGGTCTGCTAACAACTGCATAACAGACAGCTGTTAAATTACTTAAGGGTTACAAGTGCTTCATAATAAAGGATCAGTGTATTTAAAATCAGCAGATACAGTGAAATGTCTGCTAATACGAGAAACAGCTTGCATAGTAACTACTTCTCAAACAAGAACCACGGTTTATCTATCACAAAGTAAGTTTCCATATAATTTAAAAATAAAGGAAAAGGATCCACCCCTTCAAAATGGCCCTTTAGCAGTAATGTGTGTTGTAAGTCCAAACTTCTTCACATGGCTCTCAAGGGACTCTGCGAATGCTCTGAATGCCTTCATGGCTCACCGTGCCCGGACCTTGCCTGAACATCCCCATGGTCCTGCTGAGGGACAGATGGCCTTCTTTCTCAATGCCACCACCTCCACAAACCCCTCCTCTCCACCTTGGCATTTCTGAGATGTTCACTGAGCCAGGCCTTGACTTTCGGCTGCTGTGAGTGTTTGCGGTTCGTAAGCTGTGTGTCTCTGTGTATTACAGCATCAAGGCAGCACAAAGCCAACAGCCACCCACAGGCTTCAAGTATATATTCTTTGATTATTCTATTAAATAAAAAAGCAGTGTGAAAGGTTTATGCAATAAACAGCAAGAAGCAAATGAATATACTTTAACATAAACCGAAGCAAACATAAGCCCATGATCTCTTTCTTGCCTGTAACTCTGAAATCCAAATAGCTCAGAAAAGAAAGTTTCTGTTAAGTTTATAGCAAACTATTCAAATAGCAAACTATTGGCAAAACCCAACAGAACAGACACAGGGCACAGAGTCCTTGCAAATTTCGGAGTAAATTGCCAGGGGTGGCTGCAGTAACATGAGTGTGTTAGGTGACAAAGACCCTGCCCAGACTGAGCAGATGTCAGGCCTCGAGGGGCTCAGGGAAGAGACTGAGGATCACTCCATCTGCAAGCTCTGCCCCACTGAGCAGCCACCACCAACCAGGTGCCGTGCCAGGCCTGGGGACATGGACCAAAAACCCCAGTGTGGACTCTGACAGACCTCTGGAGCCAACAGAAGTCCTATCTGTGACACACGCCAACTCTTAAAGAGCTGATGGACCCTACCTGGTTTATGGTGAACCCGTGGATCTTCTCCCCCACTTTATACTGCAGGGCCCTCTCACAAGCCAGGTGACCACTCCGTCTCCACACCTCATGGTGTGTCCTGCGGTATGTAAGAGAAGTCATCAAAGTCAAATGATTTGCAGGAAATGACTTGGCAAACATAACTCAGAACATAACGACAAGGTAGTAAAGTTTATTAACTAGAGAAAAATTAAATCTTACATCTTCCCAAATACTGCACATTCTAGAAAATTAATGTCTAGCAAAATTCTTTTCATGTTAACAATCTTTTATCTCAACTCAGCAGGAGCTGCATAATATCAATTAAATGTTGAAAACCTTTTATTTGTACATGTCCATTAATAATTATAACACAAATTTCCCTTCTCATGTCACAATGGCCTCTTTCCATCACAGCATCCTCAACCAATACTTCCTCACGGATTAAGCAAACTCTGGAGTTGTGGGACAGAGAAATGTAAGAAATTATTTATCACCAACAACAATATTATGAAGACTTTGAGGGGCAATAGTAAGGCTTCCCCCATATACCTTCTGGTAACATCCTACATATCAAATTAAAGTTTCTGCCGCCAAATTCAAAGTCTCCATAGGGGTCATTCAGGGAGTCCCAGCAACCGACACCCCGTGTTTCCTCATCTGCGGTAACAGTAACCAAAACTGCACCATAAATCAAGGAAGGATTGGAGGATTAGCGTGACAACTAAACGTTTTTTGCCTTCTTTTCCCCCATATTCAATTCCAGGAGGCGACCATTTTACTGAGAACACAGCAGACTCAGAGCATGGCCCGCGGGAGCCCCATCTCCTAAGGACTCTGCCTCATAACAACAATAAAATGCGAGCAAACTTATTAACGCCGACCACAAACCGCCACTTACTTTTATTACACGCGTTAAAACCCACAGCAGTGACTCACCCGGGACCACCCACCCAGGGAAGCGCCGAGCCCGGGGTGGAGGGCCTGGCTCCGGCCGCCCCGGTCCGGACAGGTGCCCCTCCGCGCGCCTCCCCGGGGCCAGAAGGTCCCCATTCGGGCCCGCGCGGCCCCCGCTGGGCGCCAGACCTCAGGATGCGGGGCTGCACCCCTGGAGGCGGGCACCGGGAGACCTTGACGCCTCCGGCCGGCCCCGCCCGGGCCCCGCGCCCGCCCGCAACGCCTCACCTGCGTCGCAGGCTCCGCAGCGCGCCCAGCGTCCCCAGCCCACCGCAGCGCCACATGTCTGTGACCCGCGCGGGGCTGGAGCCGGGACAATATTTAACCCGACGCAGGCGCGGGGCGGGGCGCACCGCCCGCCACTCCCATTGGTCAGCACTTGGTCCGCGCCAAGGACGACGTGCTCCCGATAGGCTGGAAAGGAAAAGGGCGGGCCCCCGCTGCGTCGGGGCGGGCCTGGAGGGCCAGGGGCGGTTCCGAGGGCGGGCGGAAGGGGCGGGACTGGCCCGCGGAGCGGGGCGGGGCTCTGGGGGGGCGGGGCTTCTGGATAAAATAGGCGGGGCGCAGCGGGCGCCGGACGTGGACAGATGACGGGCGGGACACAGGGGGCGGGGCTGTGAGGGTGTGGGCGTGCCCTGGGGCGGGGCTATGCGGGTGTAGACGTGCCCTGGGGCGGGGCTGTGCAGGTGCGGGCGGGGCTGTGCCCGTGAGTGGCGGGGGCGCCAGCTGCCAGGCCGGGTGACCCTGATGCTCCTCTCTGGCGTGGCGTGGGCGCCTGCACCTGCTGTCTGTGACGTGTAGCCCCTCAGCAGAGCTCAGTGGGCGCGCAGCCGGTCCCGCCCGCTGCCTGAGCCTGGAGGCTGGGAGGCTTTGTGGATAAAGCGTAGTACGAGGGACCCCGCAAAGAAATTCCCCAGTGCGGATTGTCCGCCGCTTCTCCCCCGTTCTCCTGCATTACGCTCCTAGAAGACCACCCCTATGTGTCTGAGGTCGCCAGAATGTCCCGCCCTCCCGCCCCCGGAAACGCAGGGAGAAGCTTCCAGAGGCCAGGGCAGTTGTCAGTGACCACGCGGGGCAGTGGTGCCTGGACTGGAGGAAGGCGGAGTCCGGCTCTGACCTGGTCCCTCAGACCTCCGCTTCCTCGTGTCCCACTAATACAAACGGACTCACAGCTCCCTCCGCCTTGCTCGCTCTCTGGAGAGAGGACGCTGAGTAGACAGCTGCAGTCTGCTGCAACGTGAACGGCTCTGGCAGCAATTCGGAGGATGATACGGTGACAAAGCACCACCAGATATCTGCCCCCAACTGTCCTACTGCGGTTGCGTTGCCCCTCGCCGAGCGCCCGCTCAGCCATGAACCCAAACACCCTGAGCAGGTGGGAATGAGAGGCTCTGATACAGACGCGGCGCTGTGACTGAGTCATCAAAACACCCCTGTGATCTTGGGGGACACAGCTGGGTGTCGTTAACCTCGCTGCGAGTGTGGGAAACTGAGGCCCTGGTGGGTGGTGGTGTTCGTGTGGCTTTGAAGAGTAGGTGCTGTGTAAATCCAGTAATTGCCGCTTCCTCCTGTGTCCACAGGGTACAATCTTGCTGATGCAGAAACTCGACCTACGCACACACAACAGCCATGTACAAATAATTATTTTGAGTAGTGTCCAATCTAATTGACCAGCACCTGCATCTCAGACTCCCAGCCTCCAGAATGAGACGTTTCTGTGTGGTCCACATTCTGTATGGAGGCTATACGTTTCTGCCCTTCTGAGCCCCCAGTCTGGGTATTTCTGTTAGGGCAGCTCTGGCAAAAAATCCAGGGAAGTCAAAATTTTTCTAACTCCAAAAGAAAAATATGAATGTGATTTAACCAAATATGGTGCTCTCCAGGATTGTATGTCCTCGACTTGGTACATGGTTTTGTAAATCCTGGATTTATCACCAAACTGGTGACTGTTGGTATTGAAAAATGAGGTATTAGCTCAGTGTCTCCAAATTTAGGATTATAGAATTGTATGAAATGTTGGCAAACTCAGTACTTGTAAGGCAATGTAAAAAATCCTCATGCTTCTCAGAAAACCTAGCCTCCAACACCAGCCCCTCACTCATTTTTTCTTTCTTTTTCACTCAATAAATAATTATTGTGTAACCTATTTGCCAATCACTGAACATCACTACTGAATTTGAGCAAAACATTTCGTCTTTCTGTTTAACTTGTAGAGACTGGGCTCACCTGTTAAAAAAGAAGAGACCAGAGTTTCTGCAAGTTTTCTTTCAACCCTAAAATTCCATCATTTTATTATCGTGGGCCTTACTTGTGACGCTGATCCCAGCACTGATCTTAGCCTTCAACTTATTTTCTGTCTGTTAAAATGACCCATTCAGAAACTCAATTGATTTGGCTGATGTTGATTTCGTGTCCCTCTGAGTTATGTTCCCTGACACCTCCTTTTTGTTAGCGATCACTTCTTCCCTTGAATTTAGTTTAATCGTTTTAAGTTGTTTTAGAAATGTTAAGATGTTGCTAAGATTCTTCTTGAATATATTCTTAACATCTTTCTTTAACTTGAGAAATTTATATATGCCTATATTTTTTCAAAGACCAGGATTACTCATCAACTTAAAAAAGGGTACAGTACCAATTCAGACATTTATTATTTTATTTGTCATATGTAACTATTTCATAAAACAAAGGGTAGTGAGGTTTGTGCAGAAATGGGGATCAAATGTTTTCCTACTCTACTGTGAAATAATACTATATTTCATTTTTGCCTTTTTAAAAGCACTTTAGCATTATTTTAAGAGCATGTGCTTTTTCACTTCATAAAATGTATGTTACAGCTATATTCTCACTAAAGCACAGTGATGTATAAATGAATGTTTCCTGCAGCATTTTTTTACAACAGCAAATATAGAATGACGTAAAAGTCTGTCAAGTGGAGTTTCCTTTTTCTTTTTTCTTTTTTGTACAAAAGGTCTTTATTGGTGCAGGAGGGAGGCTGCAGAGCAGCACCAAGGAGGAGAGAAAAAGAGAAGAGAAGAGAGGAGAGAGAGAAGAGGGGAGAGAGGGAGGAGTTTTCATAAATAAAATGTGACACCTTCATGTAAGTAAATGCTGCAGATGCTGAAAATAGTAGCACGTGTCACTTCTCAGGTAGGCCGACCTGGACTACACTCTAATAAGCAGAAAAACAGCGGCAACTGGACGCTAGATACAAGCTGATGCCCTTCACGTGAGTGGGGGACACTCCTGTTTTGTGGGAAGAGTCCAAGGGAGATTTTAATTGTGACCGTAGCAAAACACTTCAATGAAAGACATTTATGAAAACTAAGTAAATGGCGAAACAGTCCACGTTCAGAGATAGGAAGCTCAGCATGACAAAGATGTCAGTACTCTCTGAAAATGTAATGCAGCTCTGGTAAAAGTCCCAACCCATTAGGAGCACAGAGTGACCATAAAACACAGAAGGAGGAGGAAAGAATGAAGAACAGCCAAGCCCGTCTTTGAGGACAGGGAGGCGGACTGACTCTGCCAGCTGTCAAGGCAGCCTTTCATTACAGACTGCTTTCTGAAGGCTTATTAAGTCTTGCAAAGCTGTTATAATCCACACAGCATGCTGGCAGCCCGGAGAGAGAGGCAAAGAGGCCAAATGAAGGACTCAGAAACCAGAAGCAGTCACTGCTCCATGGAGGGGACACGCTGGTCTGTAGAGAAAGGGCCTGTGCCTCAAGCAGGTCGCCGGAGAACAGACCCAAGGTTGTGATGTACACGGATGAAGATTGGATCCCATGGCCTTCTACCCCCCCACCCCCCCCACCCCGAGGTGGTGGTGACACCAGCTTCTATCGCTTCTAGGAGTTTGAAAGTTTTACTGTCCTCACTCATGCTTTTAAAATACATGCTCCAAACTTTGTTTTTGCTTTCTGTAATAGAAAAAGTCTTCAAGATTAGAATGGCCTCAGAAAAAGTCGTTAGGTGGGATCCTGGACTCAAAGCACAATCCTAGGGGTGGAGTTCAGGCTGAGAAGGGGCCTCCACCTGCCTGAACACGGGTTTCGTCCTTGTCAGGCCTTTGCTGATGCTTGAATTGTAGCACTTGAAGAACAGAAAAAAAAAAAAAACCTGTGTTCCAAATTGAGCAAAATGCATAAAATGCAAATATCCATTTATTTAGATTCACATTAAGAGTGAATAATGTTCTAAGGAAAATTAATGAGAAAAAAAAAAAAAAGAAAAGGCCTAGGAGGTATCTGAGGAAATCATGCCAGGGCGTCACTACCGGCTGGGAAGGATCAAGTGGAGAGGAAAGATTAAGCCTGGGAGTTTAAAAGACAAAATGTGTTTTCTTCAACTGTTTCTTTTCTTAGGGCAGCCATTGCTCATATTCTCTTTGTGGAGGATGTTTAGACTTTAACTGTTAAAAAGTAACAAACTTTTCCCTGCTGAAACTAAGAACGATGCTGTTTGCATTGTGAATTTCCTGAAAGTTTAAGTGACCACACCAGGGATGACTGAGCTGGTTATAAAGTATCACTGTTAAGTTAAGGCTCCTTGTTTGACCCTATAGGCTCTGTGGCCAGCGATCACATTCTTTCTGTGACAGGCCATTTTATAACCCTTGCAACAGTTTCGGATACTCTGATCATTGGTTTCAAAATAAAAAGGCAGGTAGATTCATAGTAATCACTGTTTACACGGGATAAATATTTATTAGGCTCCCAGAATAGGCCACCCATTTTGCTGCTGCTAAGTTTTGGAACTAGTACTTTAGGCAGAGATTAAAGACACGGTCATTACATTTATGGAATCCCTGGCCTAGCACAGGTCACAGGGAGACAGATGGGAAGTTATTTGCAGTGTGACACTCCCGCAGGTGTGAAGGTCCTACCACAAGATCACAGCTCAGGAAAGAATTCCCAGGGAAGGGGACAGATGAAACTCCCCCAAACTGTGATCTCCCAGTGGTGAAATGGGGGTGAGTTTCCTAACGTACCTGTGACAAATGACCCAGAACTTGGAAGCTTAAAGTAACACAGACTTATCATCTTAACATCCTGCAGGACAGAAGCCCAACATAGGGCCGGCTGGGCTGCAGTCACGGTGCGGGCTGAGCATCCATTTCCCTGGCTTCTCCCACAGGTAGAGGTCGCCCATCCCTGGAAGCTGCCCTGCCTCTGTCTTCAGAGCCCACAGTGTCCAGCAAGTCTCCCTCTGACACCACTTCTCTGGATCTACAGCTTCTGCCTCACCCGTCTCTAAGGATCACGGGAATTACACGGGGCCCACCTA